TTGCCACCCTGTATCTCCAAAGTAAAGGCGTTTAGGACATACGTTCATAGGAAGTTTTTTTCTTAAAATAGGACTAAGAATTACCTCCTTAAATATTAGCATGTGTTTAAGGAACACCCTGTATAGGTAGATTCGTTCTATCTTCTAGGTCCTCATCTTCAGATAGCTTCCTTGTCTATATGATTTGAAATGCTTTTTCGATAGGAACGTTGGTGTAAAGGCTTTCCACGTCAAAACTGATCAATTGATCTTGCTCTGTGACTTCAATTGCCACTAGTAATCCGACAAAATGCCTTGAATTCTCCCAAAAAGATAATTTATTATCTTGAAGTGGAAGTAAAAATCTGAAGAAGTTCTGAGTGACCGAATTTCTGAAAAAATGGTTGGTCTGAGCGGAACACCCTCCTTGTGGATTTTGGCTAGTTCATATAGGTGCAGCGATTTTCGAAAAATAGACATGGCTATTTCACAAAGCCTGGTACAACATCCGTTCAATTGAAGCATAGGGGTCCCGTACAATATACGTGAATTGCTTTTTATGAAGTATATCGTCTCTTCATAAAGATCAGTATCCATCATAAAAGTAGCGTCTCCTTCATCTACAAACATGATCTCGATGGTGTTATCTCTACGTAGGCCGTTCACAGCTCTTCGTTCTTCATCGCTGATGTTAGATGTTCTCGATCCAGCTGTTCTCTGATTTTTCATCTATATCCTTCTGCCTCGGTCTGATCACCTACCTGTTGCTTCATCTACCATACTCCTCAGGCCAATAAGGACCAGGCAAAAACGGCCTTCGTCGACTTTATCGAATCTTGAGCATTTAATTTTCATGCTGACAGAAATTTCGTTCACTTCGATTAAATTAAATCAGTATTCACTGAGATATCAAAGTTTGATGTAGACTCATAAAACGGCTTAAACTTCCGAAACAACTCAATATAATGGTAATGAATTTCGAATGAAACAACAGAGAAAACAATAAATATCATTTACAGAAATGACTCATGAATAAGGACTGTTTATATGAAGGTTGCCGCACCTGAAGAAGAAATATATGAATAGTGTCACTTCAAAAAAGAGAAATTTGATATATGAATATTTCAGAACAAATAAAAGGAGTTGTCACTTGATATACAGATTGTGAGTGGTAATAATATTCCTTTGTTGGGAGTTATGATGAAACGAATACTCATGGATCGAGGAGAATTCATCCAGATCCTGAAGAGATAAATGTGCTGGAACTGCCAAACCCAACTAACCGGAATAACTTTCCAGGATTTCCACAAAATGAGCGAAGGACAAAATGAAAATAAATCTGATTCATTGCTATAATTTCAATCATCAATAACCCCTGATATCAGATAATTCCGTAGGAAGCCAGTGAAAAGACTTAACGAATTGTTCTGACATGTTCTGTGATGTGTGTTCTCCGAAAGTAGAGTAAGTTTGGCCATTTGAACCCTTGTTCATACGTTGACAGATAGTGGTGTCAGTTCGATGGGAGAGCTGCCAAATCTCTGACATTATTCAGGCTTGTTTTAATAGGTTCTATCAACTACAGATGTTGAGAAGAGTGTGAGGATATGATACTGAAAGATGACAATATTCAATAAATTATCTGAGTCATCTATAAAACTCACGAATGAAGTGAACAAAGCCGTCGATTCATAAATTTTCGATATATTCATATACTACAATTCCAAAATAACAGGCACTAAGTTCTCAGAACTGACTGAGGTATTTGCTTAAATCTGTGTCTTGCAGTGGCATACGGAAATTATAGATGAGGAACAATGATGATGAAATATATAGAATCACAGCATTAACAACAATGTTACTATCTTCATTCGGGTTTGAAGGTCGTCATAGTTTGTTCGTCTTGATGGTTCAGCGATCACTGGTGATTTCTAGTTCGTGGGTTGTATTTATAGTGACTCAGGTAGGCTGTCTCTCTTGTTGATGCGTTGCTATTGGCCAAAGTGATTTTACCTGTTAATGACGTACCATTGCATTGCGCTGCTGCCACTTCAGCATCTTTCAGTGTGGGATTCCAAATCCAACCGGATTTGGAGTTTTCGTATGTTCATGGATTTATATGGCTTTCTCTACAAGCCGATTGTGATATTCATGATCGGGGGCAAGTAGTTTCATACCTCCAAACAGTATTGTGTGATCTCTTTCACTAAGCTCGTGTTCCTCTACTCTATTCAACCTAATCTACAGTTTCTCTAATGATCATTCAGCCTTTTACCCATGGATCTTTTAGTGGTACCGATATAAACTTTTCCGCAGGTGCATGGTATACGATATACCCCCGCAGCTGATAGTGGATCTCTTTCGTCTTTCGCTGATCTCAGGCTTTGTTGTATTTTCCTGGTGAGCTTGAACAATGTTGTTATTTTTTGCTTCTCTAAGATTGTTCCGATTCTGTCTGTAACCCTAGCGATATACGGTATAAATGCACTCACAACCGTTCGAGTTTCCTCCCTATTGTGACTTGTTCAAGTCTTCAGTTTTCTGGCCTTGTTGATTTCGGTCACACTGTATCCATTTGATCTTAAAGTCACTTGAAGATGCTCCAATTCTTCTTGTAGGTGTTCCGGTTCACATATTTTAAAGGGCACGTTCCGACAGGGTGTTGATAATTCCCCTCTTGTGTGTCGGTATTCGGTATACTTTATGTGTCAGTCGTGTGCCACGCCTCTTGACGAGTATATCTAGAGAAGCTATCAGTTGATCCTGTTCAGTCTCCATGGTGAACTTGATGCTAGGGTGTTGAGCATTAATGTGGCCTATAAAAGGATTTTGTCTGTCCTCTCATGTCTCCAGATGATGCAGGTATCATCCACGTATCGTAGTTCAATGGTTGGTTTGGAAGAAGTTGGCTATCACCGGGCTGAGTAGACTTCCCATCGCTACACTGTCCAATTGCGCACAGAAAACAAAAGAAATCCATAAATATTCGGAAATAGTGGTTAATAAAATATTGAAATCGATTGATAAAATTGTTCCTATCAACTTTGGATAATCGACACGATTATTTGATATTTTGTACAACATTGATATATCAGACATTTTTCTCCTCTGTCAGAGATACCAGAGATTTACATCCAGTATAAACATATCTGTTTAACGAACTGTTTATTTTGAAAACTCCCAATTCTCTGTTGGTAAATCGTATATTGCGGACTTCAAACGACGGATGCAAAGTTCAAACGTCTGGGCTGAAGAGTTCCGAGCCTAAGGGAAAAACCACGTTTTTTTTGTTCAAAACTGGCTTAATTTATCAACGTAATCTCCAACAAAAGCCATGCAATCATTTCAGCGCCGCTCTAACATTTCAATAACACTTTACTAGAACGAATTGTCTTTTGCCTCAAAATAGACCTCACTTTCAGAAATAACTTCTTCATTCGAGAGGAACTTCTTACTGGTGAGCATTTTTGAGATCTGCGAATAGCCAGTAGTCGCTGGGAGCCAAATCTGGCGAATACGGTGGATGTGGAAGCAATTCAAAAGTCAATTCATGTAGTTTTGTCATCATTTTCATTGACTTATGACACAGTGCATTGTTTTGATGAAACACATTTTTTCTATTTGCCACATACCGTCGTTTCTTCGCAATTTCGGCCTTTTAACGCTATATAATATCCACTGTTGATTATATTTCCCTTCTCAAGATGGTCGATGGATATTACACTACGCACATTGCAAAATACCGGGGCCATAGCCTTTCCAGCTGATTGTTGTGCTTGTGTACGTACGAGGTTCACTAGCTGCTCTCCACTCAGATGACGATCGTTTTGATTCCGGAATGAAGTGATGGATCCATGTTTCATCTATCTTCACATTTTGACGCAAAAATTTCGGTTTGTTATGTTCAAACATGGCCAAACTCTGCTCATCATCATAAATTTGTTGTTTGTTTTTGCTCGATTGTTAGCTCGCGCGGCACTCCCTTTGAATAGAGATTTCTCATAGTCAAATGCTCATGGAATATAAAGCCAACAAACACATTTTTTGATATCTCTATAATATCAGCTAACTTACGCTACTTCGATCACGTCTTCGATCAATCGAAACGATTTTGTGGATTTTTTTATGTTTTGCATCATTGGTGTCTCTACGGCCACGTTTAGAGTCAGCAAATCGACATTTAATTGTTGTTTCTGATAGAGAGTAGTATAAAACTTTTCAAGCCATCAAGAAGCAGTGTAAAATTAAAACACGAAGTTGTTTTTGATCCATTGTTTTGAAAGTAACAAATATAGTGTCACTCTTAGCACTATAACACACAAACTTATGAGTAGAATATCATGAAACTTCAACAGCTTTCTTTTGAAGGTAAGTACTAACTGAAGAGGAAGTGAATGCAACAAAATCAACGCCATCTGTGTNACACACAAATTTATGAGTAGAATATCATGAAACGTCAACAGCTCTCTTTTGAAGGTAAGTACTAACTGAAGAGGAAGTGAATGCAACAAAATCAACGCCATCTATGTGTTAGGCCCGAGACTTTCCAGCCATTGTAGTATATAAAAGTAATATAGATTCAGCAGGGTTTTTGCGTTTCTGAAATGTCTTGCATTTCTGATAATCAATGTGAATAACCCAATAATCGATTACATATGTTAGCAGTTTTCTATATGTGGGATTTGAAAATCATTTTCACTCCTAAATAGCGTACTTCATTTACCGTCTCAATTATATTGAGACGGTGAATTTGGTATTAAAAATGAATGGGATGAAATGGGTAAAAGTAATTTTCAAATATTTACCATAATTTAAAAATACAATTAAGGAATTTTTTTTGAAATGATGTTTCAAAGAAAAAATTTCTCTACCAATCTTCCTGTATTAATTCAATTCTTACAAACGGAGCTCAAAATGTTCAAATTATGTACAACCACATTATCGAGCCAAAAAAGAGAGTTAACTTTCACCAAATCTTTCATTATACTTATTTTTTTTGCACAGTTCAGATTAATACTCACAATTAACACTGAGCGATATCCTTTTGCTTACGGCTGGAGGAATGTCATTGCTAGCAATGCAGAGATATGCTCCCATTTGTCGTCTGTCCAATCTCCAGAAATGCATATGAGTCCCACTATAAACCTCCACTGAAAAAAAAACAAAATTCACCGAATATGTTTTGCTTGATTAGAAAAGAAATTTATTAACTCACGGAAGTGAGTGGAGGTAAATGGAAAAGATTAAAGCTTCTGCAGGTAAAAACCGTGTAGGGAAGATTTCATCTCAAGGCTCTCAACCCCAGGGTTGTAGAGCATTTGTTGTTCAGCCTAGCACCACAAATGGGACCTGGTGGGTCAAAACAGCGCTGTTTGTTGAGGAAGAGATAACCAGAACGCCTAGTATCCTAAAGCAGCTGTTGGATACTTCTTTTGTCAATTTTAGAGCTTTGAAAAACTTGTACTTTCGCGTAGGGATTTGGGAATTTATATTTCTCTATATTCTTTCACAAAGGCTGGATTTGAACACAATTACACCTTTCCTATAGAAAACCATTCTCCCGGAGAATCCAGTCTTCTCTACTCGGGAATAGTACTTTATAAGGCAGTTCGTAGTTGAGGTCTTTTTCAGAATGCTGCGACTTCCAGTGTCAACCAACAGTCTTTTGCACTTCAGAAAAAATATGGAGAGAAAGTAGATCTAGAAGTATCGCCATGGCCGCTGACGGTGTGGTTTGACAGTTATCACATAAATCCAAAGGATTTGTTTGGCACCTCAACCCCAAGTTTTATCACAAATCTTCCGACATGTCCATAGGGACAGTCTGGCTTTGTGTAAATCTTTTTTCAAGTGACCGTTCCAGGTGAGTTATTTATCAAGGACAAGATATTTCACCCCAATTCCAAATGGAATGACTTCACCATTGGAGAAAAGTGGCGTTGGATTATCCAATTTTCTTTTTTTGGTGAAGGAGAGTACCACAGTTTTGCTGAGGTTGACAGACATCTGCTCCCTCAGAAACCATGTGTAAACAACGTCCATCGTATTCTGTAGGATATTAGAAGCTACCCTTCTTTCACCCCAATTCCAAATGGAATGACTTCACCATTGGGGAAAAGTGGCGTTGGATCATCCAATTTTCGTTTTCTGGTGTAGGAGATTATAACAGTTTTGCTGAGGTTGACAGACATCTGCTCCCTCAGAAACCATGTGTAAACAACGTCCATCGTATTCTGTAGGATATTAGAAGCTACCCTTCTCGACGTGCACCTTGTCAAGATGACAAGGTCATCTGAATAAGCTTGCAGATATACTTTTCTTCTGTCGAGGGCATCAAGCAGACTATCCATCAGGAGTGACCACAGAAGGGGAGATAGTACCTCACCTTGAGGGCAGTCTCTATTGACCCTGAAGCTAATAGTCTGGCTTTGAAGAGTTGTAGTTGCAGTGCTGTTTACCAGCATGGCAAGCCAGTTATGGTCTATTCTATGTTTTTTCTAGCTAGAGATGATCCTCTAGATTTAGGTTGTCAAATATCGAGAACTATAGCAACCGCAATCTCCTTGTTGTCAAGAGATCCGAAAATGTTCTCTACAAAGTTGTTTGATCCTGAATCTGTCGATTTGCCGGTTTGATAAACATACTGGTGGCTATTCAGGGGGGGATGAATATAATGCCCCCCTCCTGATGTGACGGTCCAGTATCCTCCCTAGTCCTTTCAACAGGAAGGATGTGCTTCCAACCAACTAGGTGGAAAATAGTTCCACGCCAGACTAGCTTTATACAATTTTCTGAGAATGGGTAAAATTATTTCCAGTCCGTTTTGAAGAAGAGCTGGAAATATACCATTCTCTTCAGGATATTTGAAGGGTTGAAACGACTTGATAGCCAATTCAACAGCTGATTGAAGCCGGTGAATGGTAGCCCATTTTGAAGTATACTCATACATTTGAAATCTGAAAACGAGGTTATATATGGAGTTGGTAGGTGAGCTGGAAGGGGAGGTAGTTGAATGAACAAGGGTTCCAACTTTGAAATTCACCACTGGAGATTATGGAAATTACTGGGGTTGTCAAACTTATAGATTCAGGAGCGGAGACCAACATAAATCGAGTTGCTCGTTGTATATATTTCGGTTTTGAATTGTTTTATCATTTCCATGGCTTCCAATAAATTCATTTCCTTCCCTATGTTACATTGTAGATTTTTTGACCAAACAGATGTGCTCATGGAGCCTCATGTCGAAATTTCTACCGGTTTGTCCTGTATATACTGCAGAGCATGAATTGATTTATCATTTCCATGGCTTCCAATAAATTCATTTCCTTCCCTATGTTACATTGTAGATTTTTTGACCAAACAGATGTGCTCATGGAGCCTCATGTCGAAATTTCTACCGGTTTGTCCTGTATATACTGCAGAGCATTCACCACACTATTCGATATATACCTGATTTTTTCATTATATCTCCTTTGGGTTCTGCATTGACAGGATTCTGCGTAAATTATTATTACTTATGAAAGCTGTTGTTATTTTGTGTTTAGTGTAGTAATTTTGTGATTGATTTAATATTTGACACCCTTATTTACTCAACTACCTTTCCTTCCAGCTCACCTAAAAACTTCCTACATAACCTCGTCTTCATATTTCAACTGTATAAGTTAGTTTTATACAGTTGGGCTACCTATCGGGCGCGTCCCCAGGTTGCGGATAGGGAAACGGCCAGGGGACTGGAGGCCCTCTCCGGGAAGTCAATGGGGCCTTACGGACGGGGTCGCCGGACTCCTGGTCAGTAGCAGAAACAAGTAGGGTGACGGGAACTGAAACTCCCCAATATCCTTTGCAAAACTTGCCACCGTGGACCAGCCTACCCAAGCTAAGGTGTAATAAATCGTGCTGACAGCCGAATGGACGTTTGCGTCTTGGAAAGGCTAAGGCGCAAGCGTATTTGCAGCGCCGAGGACAAAAGGAGGAAGAGAGCAAAGGAGGCAGGAGTGGCAGCCACTCTAAGGGCAACCTCCTCCTTCCCCACTCCAACAGCAAGGGTACTTCCTGCAGGGGCCGCCAAGAGCTCCGCCTTGAATAAAGGCAAGGAACCGGCCTGCCCCTGCAGGAAAGCTCCCTCACTTTTGCACCTCCACGGAGGGAACCCCAAGAAGGTTGAAGAAGCCGCGCGATGACACTTTCCAAAACCTTCGCGGAGGCTACCGTGAGACACCTCAAGGTTGCCAAAGAGAGTGTGTATATTACTGGAGTTTTTTCCCAACAACAAATTGTTATTTTCAAAGGGTATTGTAGATGTAAAGGTTGAGAATGAATGAAATCTCGACTTTCAGAAAGGACAAAAACCAAGATAAATATTTGGAAATATTGTCAAGGAACTAGGTATGAAGGTGGTTTTTAAAACAAGTCATACACTACAGAGCCTTTTGGGAAGTCCAAAAGACAAAGTCGAGAACTCGGAAAAGTCTGGAATTCACGAAATTGAATGTAAGGACTGCGATGCAAAATATTATGGACAGACAAAAAGATCTATTGAAGTAAGATATAAGGAACACATAGCACACTTAAAATATGAAAGACCTGAAAAATCAGCAGTCGCCCATCATATTTTGCAACAAAACCATTTCATAGACTTCAGTTCATCAAGATTAGTTGGACAAGTTAACAAAAACAGACAACTATATGCCTATGAGAGTGTAGAAATAAGTATCGAAACACGTGTTAAAAATAACGATTTGGTGTTGGGAAAAAAATCCAGTGATATTCAATTCTACACCAAAAGTTCCAAAAAGTGCATCAAAGAGAGTGTGTGCTCAGCCAATCTAGGCCAATATAAAGGAGATGTTTCCTAGTGACCTGTCTACCTTCCTGGGAAAGGACAGGATGGACGATGACCTAGGAGGACAACTCTTCGGGAGGATGTACAATGGGTCTCCTGTGGCCTAAGTGCTATGAGTCTACACTCATCTCCCTACTTTACAGATACAGATACAATTTTACACAGATTTCCGAAACTCTTACGGATGGAACCGTTATAAATGACACCATGGGTCTGACTGGAAAATTACTTTCATTTAATTTGATGAGAGAATGTAGTTCAGCTGGTTGTGGATTCATGGCAAATTACCTGCGTAATCACTACCTCTATCGACTTGATGGTTTCTTTCGAAGGGTTCTGTTGAAAGGTTGTTGGATCATCCCCCAGAATATTCTAAGATCCAAGATTCAAAAAATCAAGGATTTACCTTCTGCTTTCACCAACGGCATCTTTATACAAAAAATGCGGGAATATTCCAAATAATTTTTTTTAATAAAGTATAGTTTAGGTGGGTTGTAGTTGGACGGAATGCATTCGTTACAAGGTCAAATCAATTATTGAACAGTAACTCATGTATTTCATCGTTTTCATCATAGTAGTGGTCGCTGCGATGCTGTATACTAGTATAATTATCGGAACTTCCTCTATATATTCGTTCAATCCAACACCCCTTTTGCTGCCAAACGTGTAGCTGGGAAACGTTCGACATTTCGAAAGAATGAAAGAAGTGAAAAGGGTCTTTGTGTCTACTGACAGACCTTTGTTTAATGAAAAATCAAACGTTATTTACCACATTCACGTTCCACTTTGTGTTCCGTGTTTTCTTTTTCAGCAGCTGTCGGTGAAAATTGATGTTCGTTACCCTGAATGTCGTATAATTAATAACTGAGACCGGAAAACCCACGTTGTTCCAAGTAACAGACGAGAGATTATTTGAAATATTGGAGCATGCTGGAAAGCGACAACAAAATCTTTCTCACTGCGGTACTCGTTATACGCAGAACTCGTGGATTTCAGTGTGAGGTAATTGGAAATCGTTTTTGAGTTTCATATTTTAATGTGTCTTATTGAATTTCTAGATAGGATAAATTATTCATAAAGGAAATTGAATTGTGAGTTCATAAGACCACCAGGGTTCAGAAAATGGGTTAAATTTTCATTTTTTTCAAGAAATATTCATTCATCGATCAATTTCTATTTTTTATCCTCAGATATAGAACTCTTGTGCCAGCATTTCTTCCAATCCACAGATCTTTGATATGATATCCTTGAGCCCTCTCACCGATACGGTTTTTATCTCCTGAGTCGTTGTGAAACGCTGTCTTTTCATGAGACTCTTCAATCTTAGGATCAGGAGAAGGTCACAAACGCCCAATTCTGGTGAATACGGTTGCTGGGGCATGATAAAGGTGTTGTTTCTGTCAAACAATTACGAATAAGCAATGACGAGTGGGCAGGTACATTAACATGATGCAAAAGCCATGAATTATTTTTCACAATACCGGACGTCTTCTTCGTATACTTTTTTTAAGGACAAAACACAAGCACTACAGGAAACTCGAACACCTCCCGTGAAACTATCCATTGGAGAGAGACAAATCTTCGATGTTCAGGGCTATCAAGTTTGCACGAGATGTTCGCGTCTCCAATCAGGCGGATGGCTTTTTTCTGGATGAAATCCAGCAATTCCAGGGTATGTTTGGGAGCACAGCTCCATACATGAGAACAATACTCCAAAGACCCGTGAGTTGGGCTGCCTATCGTGCGCGTCTCCAGCTGTTGGATAGGGGAACGGCCAGGGGACTGGAGGCCCTGTCCGGGAAGCCAAGGTGTCCTTACGCACGGGGTCGCCGGACTCCTGGTCAGTGGCAGAAATAAGTGGGGTGAAGGGAACTAAAACCCCCAAAAGCCTTTGCAGAACATGCTACCGTGGACCAGCGTACCCAAGCTAAGGTGTAAGGAATCGTGTAGACAGCTGAATGATGACCGTATATAAGGTCATGAACGATCTCTTTGCGAAACCCCATTGAAATCAGCCTACCTCTGGTAATGCGGGGCTCTGCCAGAGGTGACCAACTCTTTCTTTGCTATTCGTGGGAACACACATGAATAAAACAACAGAAACAACAAAAACAAAAACTATTCCTGAGGCTTCACAGAAGTGCTCACCTCAATCTAAGGCGATGGCTGGGGATGAACAAAAACGTCCACCCCAATCTACCGCCTGGAATGAGGCTGGATACATCAGATCACCTTCAACAGCAAGGGCACTTCCTGCGACGGGAGCCAAAAGCTCCGCCTTGAATGAAGGCAAGAAACCAACTGCCCCTGCAGGAAAGCTCCCTCACTTGTGCACCTCCACGGAGGGAACCCCAAGAAGGTTGAAGAAGCCGCGCAACGACAGTAATATCGCTGCACCTTCCAAAACCTTCGCGGAGGCCACCGTGGGACACCTCAAGGTTGCCAAGGAATATGTGTTCGTCGAGTCTTGGCTTACACCTGCCAATATGAAGGAGATGTCTCCAAGTTACCTGTTCACGTTCCTTGAAAGGACAGGATGGACGATGACCTAGAAGGACAACTCCTCGGGAGGATGTACAATGGGTCACATGTGGCCTGAGTCCTGTGAGTCTACACTCACCCTCCGTACTCTACAGATACCAGAATACTCCAAAGAATGTCTGATCTGAGCTTCATAAAGCATCAAAAGTTGCTGAGGTGTGGAAAGTTTTCTGGTTTGGAGCAGTGTTCGAAGCTTTCGAAAAGCAGCATTTGCAATTCCAGCTACATGTTAATGCCAAGACATATTGGTGTCCATTTTAACCCCCCAACAAACTTATCAAAGCAGAAAGTGGAATTGTTTGATCTGACATTATTATATCCGGTTCAGTTGGGTTGGATGGAAGAGCAAGGTCTGCTTATGTTGCGATTCCTCTGTAGCTTGGTCAGAAATTGAATCCTGCCATTTGATAGGAGGTTATATTTTTGTTTATATATATATTTTTTCTTTGTATTTTCTTCCTATCAATAAAATCAATTATTATCATTATTATTATTAGCATTACATTTATCTTCTTGGAGAAAACCGATGCATGGGTTTTTGTGGCATTGAAATGAACCTGTTTACTCCCACCTGAATTTGAAATCACTTCTAGATCCTCATTAAGATGTGCAACCTCCTGCTGCCAGTGAAGATGTGCTCTGCAACCAATCTTCTGGAATCCAAATGTAATGACGAGACGAGTGTGCTGTCATCAGCAAAGCAATATATTGTATTCCTGATTTTTTCCAATGAGTCGTTGATATACAATAAAAAAGAGGGTCGGAGACAATATGGAACCCTAGGGAACACCAGCGTGAAAGTATTTTAGAGATAATCATCAATAGGCCACTTGCAGGAAACGTTTTTTCAGGAAGCTGGAAAGTCATACACAGAAGTGATTCGACAAGCCATATCATCGAAGTTTGGCCAGCAAACCCTCATTCCAGACACGGTAAAAAGCCTTAGAAATATCAAGCGCAACAGTTCTTAATGCTCCATGTTTCACTGATGCACTACGCTACGGTAATAAAAAAATAATGAGCGAAACCTGATATTTCATCGAACTTGGCGTGCTTTTTTGGTCTTGGCTCTTCTGGAATCTTTCATTGGAACGATTGGACTTTGGTTTTGATGCTGTTACCATATACCCATGATTCGTCACTAGTTATGATCCTTTCAAGCAGATCTGTTGCTAGTTGTAATGCTCATCCGACGTTTTGGTCAAGATTCAGCAATTTTGAAAGGAACTTTGCTGCTACACGGTTCATGACTGAAATTTCTTGAAAAATTGCATGGCATGAGCCAACCGATATGCTGATATCCCCAGCAACTCATGTAATAATGATTCCATGATTCTCCATGACAATTGTCTTCACTTTCCCAACATTTTCATCGGTTGTTGATGTGCTGGGGCCTCCTAGCATATTGATATTGTTCCTAATGTTATTTGCTATTCATTGAAATCTTTACCAATTTTACATTCAAGGCGAAATCACAAAGTGCGGCCTTTGTTGATGTTGAAGACTCCTGTAACTACGCGATGCCCAACCATGCATCGTACTGATGAAGCTTATGAGTCAGAAACACGTGTCCGCAGTTTGAACTTTTTGAGTGGTTTGTCAATAAGTTTTTCATTTTGATTCATTACGAAATCACTCACGAGACCATCTCGTGTTCTATCCTGGACCAGGATGTCACGTGTTTGCAATTTTTGAGTGCTCAAAAATAGTCAGCAAGCCATCTCGTGTTATATATAAGGAATGAATTTCTGTCAATTTGATCAGTATTTGTATAGCGCTGGAAATAATATTCAAAGTTCCGACAAGCTCTGAGTTGCGAAAATTATGAAGGAAATAAACTCAGGTATCAGCTTTCACTGGTATCGAAATTCATTTTAAGAATGAAAACAGCGGCAGTTACATTTTTCAAAATAATCTCACCTCATCAGAGTCGATGTGAAATTGTGTCGAGAAGTTATGTGTAAGAATAAGGATTTCTGATACTGTACCTTTTTCATAGTCTCGAAGACCTTTTCTGATCAATATGGGCTGTCCGTCTTCTCTTCTCCAATTGATTCTAGGCGTAGGATGACCAGCTGCTATACAAGATAATGTAGTGTTTTCGCCCTCCGAAATTGACATATCACCACTGGTGTTCTCATTGAGAATATCAGTAAATATTTCCTCAAGCGAGTTTTAAAAATGGAAATATTTGGCGCAACTAACTATTTCTTTAGGCAGTTTATTAAAAATCCTCAGACTCAAATATTCAGAAGATGTTATGGAATATCATGTTGTGACAAGTTATGGAATGTATCCATGTTATGAAATGTCATGTTATGGCATGTCATGTTGTGGAATGCCATATTATGTATTGTACTAATGTTGTGTAATGTCATGTTATGGAATGTACTCTTGTTATGGAATGTCATGGAATGGAATGTTCCTAGGTTATGGAAGTTTCTGGAAATATACTCATGTTTCATATAAACTGCTCTATTCAATTTGAAACAAGTATTGAAATACTTATAGGTTTTGCTCAATAACAGTCCCGAATTCAATTGAATGGAGTTGTTTCTTGAGATAAATATCTTTTCAAAATTCGATTCGCTAGTAATTTATCCAAAAAATACACAGGAACTCAAAGATCTTCCAATACTCTAACTCTGTATGGGAATCATTGATTCGTCTGTCTTTCCATCTGCCAGGAAATGAAGGAACATAAACAAATGTATCCGACTAAGTGCCAAGTTCAGCTTCAGCTCAAAAAAATTTTCGTATTTTGGTTGACCATCTTGTCCCCTCACGAAAGATATACCTCAGGAGTCAAAACTTGTGTGAATGGAGGATCAACAAAATCTTACCTTCCAGACTTCTATTTTCAGCACGATCGGAGGATACGTAGACGTTTGATTGAAAAAGTAGAACGAACCATTCACGCTGAACTACTAACTATCTATACATTGTTTTGAGTATATTGAACTGTTTCGAGGGACATAGAAAAACAGTTTTGTTATCATCACTTTTTAAACTATAGAAGTAACGGCAGGTTCTTTACTTTTTCGATTGGAAAAAAACATGAATGTTTTGTATGTATGTTAAGATTTTTGTTGAATATTTTCTGAATTGTTGAAGATTTCAGACGAAAAAACACTTTTTCCGTTTTCAATGATAACATCAAAGTTAACACAACTGTAGCCTTGATGGAATATAAGTTTGTTCTCACATCTTCCAGAGGTATTCTGAGAAAACTTTGAGTTTTTCCATTTTTTCTGAAATATTTCTGAAACTAGTTCAAAGTCCGATTCAGAAATTATGAATCNTATGAACTTTTCGTCGGGTGTGCCAAAATTGACGGGGCGAGACAATTACGATGAATGGAGTTTTGCCGTCGAAAATTTTCTTATTTTGGAAGGCCTAGATGAGTGTCTAAGTGGTGCCGAGACCGACACTACTCTACAAAATAAGGCGAGAGCAAAGTTGGTGCTTACCATTGACCCGTCATTGTATGTTCATGTACGAGACAGCCAGGATGCTGAGTCGTTATGGATTACTTTAAGAACCATGTATGCAGATACAGGCTTTTCACGTAAGATTTATTAAATACGAGCCTTAATATCTCGACGTTTAGAAAATTGTGATAGCATGGAGTCTTACGTTACACAAGTTGTGGAAACAGCTCAAAGATTAAAGAAGACAGGTTTTTCGATTGATGAAAAATGGATTGGGTCTTTACTTTTAGCTGGGTTGCCAGATAAGTTCTCACCCATGATTATGGCGATAGAGCATAGTGGTATTGAAATTACTACCAACAACATCAAGACTAAATTGCTCGATATGTCTCAGGAAGGTGCTCAGAAGTCCAGAGGTTTGGCTTTTGTTGCTGGAAAACCTAATTTTACCAAGAAAAAGGACCACCAGAAAAAGGACACTTCAAAATTGCAGAATGTGAAGTGTTATCGTTGTAAAAATTTTGGCCACTATATGAATAAGTGCCCCAAGGCCAGCAGTGAAGCTTCAGTTAACAGCTCAAGGTCAGGTGACAAGAGAGCAGGTGTCAGCAGTGCTTTGAGTGCCGTTTTTAGTAGTGGGAATTTTAGTAGCAGCGACTGGTACATTGATTCTGGTGCGAGTCATCATATTACATGTAAAAAGGAATGGATAAGTGATTTTCAGGATGTAGTTGAACCGAGAGACATCACTATAGCTGATCAGACTAAGCTGCCAGTACTGGGTACAGGAAACATTATTCTTACAACCATTGTAAATTAGCAGAAGCACTATGTGGAAATTGAGAATGCCTTATATGTTCCTGGAGTGACCACTAATTTATTGTCCATTGGCCAGATGATAAAAAATGGAAATAAGGTGAATTTTAATGACAAAAGTTGTAGGGTCATTAATCACATTGGTACTGTTGTAGCAGTAGCCTAATTTACTGATAATGTTTATAAGTTGGCTAGATGTTCATCCCAAGGTAGTGAAGTAGGTGTTGAGAAGCAATCAGCTAATGCAGTTTTGAATTTGGCAGTTTCAAAAGAGATATGGCATCGTAGATTAGCACATTTGAATTATCAAGATTTTCCAACACATTTTCATGGTAATTGACCTGCTAAAAACAATAATATTAACAATGTATACTTGAATGGACAAATTCTTGAGAATAAAAAGCAATCCAAATTCCTGGAAATCTTTATGGATAACAAATTAAAATTTGATCAACATATTTCAGCTTTGAATAAAAAATTGGCATCAGGATCTTATACACTGCGAACAGTTTCAAATGAACTGAGTTCATCCACATGAAAAATGGTATATTATTCCCTGATTGAGTCCTACCTGAGATATGGTGTTGCCTTCTGTGGATTTTGAAGTCAACAACATTTTCATTCAGTGTTTGTTTTGCAAAAGCGAGTGGTTAGATACTTATGCAAGGTGGGAGTACGTGAGTCATGCAGACCATTATTTTTGAGAGAAAAAATTCTCACTGTTACTTTGTTACTTGTATTTTCATACTTGAAACTGTTTGCCTGATTTACAAAAAACGTAACATGGTTGAAACTCCGGAACCTAGAAACTACATAACCGGGCAAGTAAAATACATCTTCCAAAAATAAGCCAGACAAAGTATTCTTTAATTTATGAAAGTAAAAAGCTGTATAATCACAAACCTTACGAAATTAGAAAGGAAAAAAGCTATACAAAGTTCAGAAATCTTATTAAAGATGCATTTGCAACTAAAGCGTACTACAATCTTGATGCATATTACAATGGAACTTTGCTGTGATTTGATATAGGTGTTTTTT